GTTTCAAAGTGAGTGTGGGGGGACCACAGACACGACCCGCAAAGCCGGAGGCCGACATAAGGGAGATCAGTGCCAAACCCAGCCCCGCCGGGCAGCCACCGGGCCGAGCCGGCACATGCCCAAGCACCTAGCCCCGGACGAGAGCCCCCAGCGCGCCGGCCGGCAAAGGTACAACCCACCAGAGGACAGCGTGGTCAGGGGAGTAGTGGGCCCTCAAATGATCCCGAAGAAGGGGCCGCTCAATTAATAATTAATAAATAATTTTTTCCCACTGCATAGGTTTTCATTTGTCTTCAAAGTACAAACATCCTCCTGAAGTTTAAAGTTGAATGAGTTATTTAAGTGACCTCAGACTGTCACATGTTGGTGTTAATATGATGTGATTTCTCTGCTCAACTAACGGTACGTTCACACCGAATGCGTTTTGAGCAGCAGGAGCGGCCGATTTACATGCAAAGTCTATGAGAACGTGCCTCTAGGGGTCGTGCGTCGCGTCACGTACGTTTTGGGCGGCGCACAAGGAAGGCGGAAGGGGCGCAGAGCGTTTTCCGCGCATGTGGTGCTGCGGAAGCCGCCGCCGCCGCCGCCCGAGCCTCCGCCAGAGTTCAAATATCTGAACTTTTCGCCGCTCGACCCGTCTCCCACTGAAAACCGAAACAGACGGACTGGAGATCTTCACCTGAAATCGACCGTGTGCAGTTGGATTTTCTGGCAGGATATATCAGCACCGATGTGAATCAGCTGCTCGGGACCAAAAAAAAAGTCCGTCAGCTGGCAGCTTCTGGAGTGACGAAACTAACCAAACAAATCGCCTCTAAATCATCTGGTGAGTTATTTATCTGCTGTGCACAACGTTAGCTTGCTCTTTAGTAAATAAATCAAAGGCATTTTCTTTTATTTTATCTTTATTCACCCACCGAGGACACACTCCTCCCACACCTCACTGCTGCTGCTTGTTCTGGTCTGAACACTWGTGCGTTCTCGGTCTGAAAATAGTGCGTCCAACGAGAGGCGGTTTGTGCTTTTTGGCCGCTCAAAATGCGTTCGGTGTGAACGTAGCATAAATGTTTGTGACGCGTGAAAACTCCTAATGACTTAAAAACTTTTTATCTTTAAATTTTTAAGATTTTGCATGAATTCTGCAAAGTAGCCAAGAAGGATTACACTTACCTGTGCCTTTGTTTTCAACTAAACTTTAAAGGGGCAATATCATGCAAAATCAACTTTTTTGAGTTTTATATAATGTTATAATGTTATACTCTCATAAAAAACATGCCCAAAGCCTTGCTTTGACTCATTCATGCATGTTTGAGAAATCCTGCAGCGTTTTTAGGAAGCCATGCTGAGGAGCAAAATCACAGGTGGGGACCAGAAACGCCTTTTGGAACCAGAAACGCCTCTGGGATGTGTCTTTGGACC